TTTCCTTAAAACAAAAATGTCTCAATAAAAGTGCAACGAGAACTGCTCACATTACCGATAGACTTAATAATCGTAATAAAGTTGTAAGTGTAATAAACAACAACAAAAACTCGTATAAAATATTTAATTTAACGCGAGGAGAATGTGTAAAATATTGTTTATAATTTCAATGAATTTTAAGGTTTTTTCCCATAGTAAAAAAATGCATTTCGAACTGGAATTCATTCAAACTTAAATAATTAAACAATTGTTGAGCACATTTTTAAACCCATTGCCGAACGATGGGCGGTATATGTGTATGATAATTTTAACATTCTCTTTGCAATATTCACAAATCAGTATGAGATGCCCTGTATGCATAGTTTAGCATTGTACCGTTTGTTTTTCTCAACGGGCAACAGGGGCATGCATGCCATGAAGCAATTAACAAGAGTATCAGTAAGGGCTAGAGAAGGCATTGTGTGGACTCTACTAAACCGATCCGATAGCTCGTTGGATGTCTGACAATGCTGGGTCAGTACTTATTCTTGTACATTTGAAATCCGTGGAGAAGGGGTTCGGCGTCAGACTATATCGTATGGATAATCCGAATGCAAGAGTGATTATCACAATACTCGTCTAAGCTACTGATTGTTGGACTGTTGGATGGTCTTTCGGAGATTACCGTGATGGTGGCGGCCATCCCGAACTGAATATTGCGGAAGCATTCAATAGTTATAGTTGTTGATTAGGCACCACTCACAGGGAGAAATTTGAATTGTATTCAATCTGTTACGTTTGGTAATCCAGTTTTGTTATAGCACCTCCAACAGGTGCCGCCATGTAATCAGTCATATCCTTCTATCACATGAATCGTCTGCCCTGTAGGAGTTGCAGTTTTTAAAAACAATTGAATCATCTCCGCCACGTACCCTTGTACACCTTAACTTCGATTGCAGCTTCTTAAATTCGCAAAAAATTAAAATTGGAAGAAACATTTGGAAGACTAATCTAATTGATATTCATAACTACAAATGGAAGATGGGTATGTATGATCCAACCTAGATCGACATGAAATTCGGGTAAGGTCTTTGAAAAGAGAAGCGTGAGCAAAAATAACTTTCAGCGGCCGAGTGGTTCGTCCACTTGATTACCGATATATTGATATATCGCTAATATTGCACGTACTCGAGATTCATTTTAAGGCAAATATAATTTATTGTACGAGTTAGTTATTTTAATCATTTTTTTGTTAAGTTTTCAAGTCAATTAAAATTTGCAATAAGTTTAGTTTAAACGTTTTAGAGTTACAAGAAGTTCGTCTTCTTTCTTTGTGTACTCAACGTTTGTAATTAATATTCTTTTCTTACGCAATAAACTTGTTTTAATAAAAATAAAATTTTAAAAACAAAAACACATAAAAGAAGCACGAATTCGAGCGAAACAATAAATAAAATTATAAACAAAAAAGACGGAAAAAATTGTCAACAATAAAATCTTTCGACATACAAACATAACATATATATAGTATATATATATATATACAACTTATTGTATAATAATACGTTAAACGTCGGTGAGTTTATGCACTTTGCTTTAATTTTTCGGCCATCATTGATATTTGTTACAAACATATTTATAACCGCTACACATATATATGCGTGCAGCGTATATGTTTTTTTATGCCTTTATTTGTTTTTATTGCACGAGAATATTTTCATACCTACGCAGGTTGAATATGGTTGCAGACAACATGTGTCATTTCGATGGCAACATTTTTGCAAAAATTAACTAACAAAACTCTTTTATAAAAAAAAAAAAATAAAAATAAATGCAATTTCTTTGCCACTGCAAAATTTTGATATTATTATTATTCAACTAGGGCCGTCTCTGTTCGCCTATAAATTTTGAGTACATTGACTCAGATCAATTTTCAAGAGTAGATAAAGTCTATCTCGATAATAAAAATGAAAACGTCCTTAGGAAACTAACCAAAAAAAATATTTAGGACTTTGGAATATATCCACCAATAAATTCCGTACAATATTAGTAATGGCCATTAGCAAAAAAAAAAAATAAGTAACAGGTGATGATTACGTCTTTTTTATTAGTTACCTATTAAGTGTCGATAGTAAATTTAATGGTTTGACGTCTTTTGAAAATTAGAAGAAAGAGTGGGGCGTGGGTGGGGGAGAAGGGAGGGGGGGGGGGGGGGGAGAATTAAAAAGTAACGCAAGGGTTCCTTTATAAAAGTGATGCATGACATGAATGTAATGAAGTGAAAAAAGTTATTTTTAATCAAAAGAAAGAACATAGAACAACAAGCGACGGAGTCAAGGAAAGAATTTAAGCAAAGTTAATTGCAAAAATCGTGGACAAGCAAGCATTAGACTGAGCGCAATATTTCAGAGAATAGACAGAGTTTAGGGAAAGCGACAACGCATTGTCTTGCAAAAGATGTCTTTGCTACAAATATATTTCAAGAGTTTTCCAAACGTCTAACATATTGACCAAATCTGGGCCCATTGTTTAAATAACAACACAATTCGATTATTAACGAACTTTGTCACGTTAATTAAATAAAAAAATTAAATATTTTTCAAATGGAGAATGTGTAAGTGTTAATGGCCATGTGAATTATGAGTTTAAGGCATAACATCAACAACAAATTTGCTTTTATTATCATAATAGGGTACCGTGAAAGGTTAACCGCGTTAGATGAACCATCACTGGAAAGTTGCAGCCTAATGTCTTACTGTTGCTGGTTTTCAACTTCTCTTAAACGTGATCGCATTCTTTATAAAGAAGTTTATGTTCACTTAAAAGCATTTGCAAACAACAATATCTTGAGCAGTTATGAGGCTGAGAGAGGTGAAGACTTCGCAGAAATCAGTGCTTCTGCCAAGATATTAAAGATTTTAATGTTATTTATATATATATATGTAGATGCAGGCACAAAAAAGTGGCACCGTCGAACAAAAACTTTTCGAGGAAAACGAATGAGATGGGATGTGCGAAAAGGACAGGGCATTTTTTTATGATCTTGCATATGCTTGATTGATTAATGTTGCAAAATAATAAACAATTTATTATAATAAGAAGACACACATTTCAAAATTTTAAACGCATTTTTCTCGAAATACGAGATTGCCAACAACTTGAATTCTCTTTTTAAGAATTTTCTAGAACAACCTTAGAATTTTTTTTCGTCAACAGGTGGTGAAGGTGTTTTTTTTTTTTTTCTATTGAAATACATTGTTAAAATTAATCAAAAACTAATCATTTTATTAGCTATAGATAAATAGATTTGAATTTAATTAGCAAAGACATTTGACGACTCGCTCTTAACCCTTAAACTCTGCAAATATCTTAACAGAACTCGTCAAGTAGTTAGGATTAATGCATGGATGGATTTGGAAGCCTACTCCCGCCAAATTACGATATGTCAGATGGTTTCGTAAACGCCTCATAAATCTATATAAAAATCGCAGCAGTTCGGATGAGCAAAAAAATTCACATCTTCTCGGAACTATTTCTATCAAATTCTTGACATTCGATATGTAAGCATAGGGCGACTATAACAAAATGATCAAATTTGATAGTTTGGACTGCGGCCGAAGTAGGAAATTGCAACGTTATTCACATATATATATATATATATGACGCGAAACGAAGCGCAAATATCCCGTTAAATAAGCTGCACAAGTGCTATTATGTTTTGCTAAATTTAGAATGCAAATTTGTACCGTCGACACCGTTGGCCGCAGAGTCCCTTAACTTCAAATTGGCCTATGAAAATGGCTTCGGTGTTGTTATTTTTAGATATTTGCTAGAATTCACTTTTTTTTTTTTTAATAATTTGCGTCATTTATGGCATAGGGGAATATTACGTTTATGCAACTGTATGTAATCGATATAAGGAGAACTTGATATATACTCATAATTTTTCATACTGAATATTCAGAAAGTGATTCTGAATCGATCTTAGCTTGTCTGTCCGTCTCATTCCTTGTGCTCGACCTAGAGGCCGCAGATTTCGAAAGATTTTATTGAAATCTTATACACAGATATGGTTCGGATCAGACAACTTTCTCAGTCACCTCTTATTTTGAACAATATTAGTTGTTCAATATTTAAGTTGTACGCTTTAGAAGTTGTTCGCGTATTTTTATTTCTTCAGCTTTGGCATTTATCCCAAAAAAAAATTGTCAAAAGTCTACGTCTTTCCAAGTTGTTATGATGTTCCTGACCCTTCGCTGAATTTTTAAATTATTTGCGTACATTAGGTTCAAAGTTGTCCATCGATCTGCTCACTCTTGATTACCCGTTCATTTTTAATCTACTATAAAATAAATTCCGAGCCTTATTGAATCATGTTATGAGCTACGCGTACACTTTATTAACACGCTGCAAGTACACTGGCGTTGATACACTTCTTCGAGATCATTGTTTAGTCAAGTTTGCTCGCCTGTAGGAAACAGTCTCTAATCTTATGTCATAACATTTTGCGAATGAGTAAATTATTTCATTTCGTTAAAACTTATTTGCAATCTCTACACATGTAAACAATATAATACACCATGTGGTAACATGAGCAGATGCCATACTTTTTCGTGATGTGTGCCCACCTTTTTTTAAATTGTACTTCTTTTCTATTCTATTAGAGGAGCTGAGAGTAAACCTACCGAGCTTAAATTAGGATACTGCACTCAAAGAGTAATGTCGTTCCGTCAGTCTGCGTTGCCGCGTCGAAATTTCGAATAATAATGATAATGTCGGTCGGCTATTGTTTTAACAATCAATTAATTCTCATAATTCCATTATAATAAATAAAAGCGAATGGAGAGGGAGAAGGAGAGAGAATATATATGTCTATTGCTTCGTTTATTTCTTTTGCGATTTCAACTTAATTTTTTTTTCATTAAAATTAAATTATTAAAAATTTCGATATTGTTTCTCGTTTCTCGTTTCTCGCTAAATTATTGAATTTCATTTTCTTTCTAATTTCCATTGTTCATTAGGTACAAATGTTGCAACAAGAGTTCCCTCATCATCAAGTGAAAATAAGTCTGCAGCAAGACTTAAATTACTTTATAAATCAACAGCAACAACAAAAATATAAAACCGGCTATTGTCTCTATGAGCTCAGCTGCTGCTGCTGTTGCTGTTGCTGTTGCCGCCGGCGTTGTTGCTGCATGAAAATTAGCATTAACAGTTTAAAATGTGGCCTTAAAAACAACAAGAAAATTCTACATAACTATAATTGCCAAGCGAGACGAGCGTAGAAGAAGATAAAGAGAATTTATTATTAACAAAAAAGAAGAAAGAAAGGAAAAAAAAAACAAAAAAGAGAAAAAACGTTAAATGCGAATACATTTTGAGCAAACCTCGAGCTTGTAAGGAAAACAAAAAAACAAAAAAAAAACTGATATTTGAAAAAAGTAAAACTAAAAAAGTCAAAGAAATAAAAAGCGCAAAATCAAATATTTAAATAAAGCCATAGAAACAAACAATAGAGAGCTGAAGAAAATTTAAGGTGCTATCATGGTGCATGTGATGTGTAGTAAATTACAAAAACAACAACAAAAACGGCAACAACAACAACATCAACATCAACAAAAACATCAACAAAACCAACAACAAAAACAAGAACGTCAAAGACAAAAACATAAACGAGGCATTCTAAGATATAAAACGACGTTAGTTGATAGTGTTGCCAGTACGTGGAGTGGCGGTAATGTAAAAATATGCTATTGTCGTGTTAGTAGGAGGGGAGCTTGCATTAGTAGTTGCTGGGCTGTGTTGGTGGTGTTCATTTTGTTGTTATGTGGCAATTGTGTAATTTCACAGCGTAGTTTAAACAATAACAACAACAACAACAACTACAATAATAATAATAATAATAATAATAATAATAATAGTTTAAGCAGCACTAATAACACTAACAACAACAATAGCATACAAAACAACAATAGCAGTTTATTGCAAATTTCCCGACCATCAGCAGCGATATTAGTAAAACCTTTAGTTCGCCAACAACAAAATGTTATTGGCGAAGCGGCGGCGGCGGCGGTGGCGGCGTCGGCGTCGGATGAAGTGGAAAAACAAGTTGCGATTGATAAAGCAACAAATGCCACTCATAACAAAATAATAACAAAAACTTCAACTACAACATCAATCTCTTCTTCCTCTTCGTCTTCATCTTCAACGTCGATGTCATCGTCTTCTTCTTCTTCATCATCATCATCTGCGGCTTTATCGTTAACGAATACGGTTTCAGTTACAGGCAACAGCATAGGTCCCGCTGCGAACAAAAGTGATATTAAAGAAATTTCCAATGATGGCGAAAGTTTTAATGATAACAACAACAACAACAACAATAATAATAATAATAATAACAACAATAACAACAATATTCAACATCCAACAGCCAACAAAACTGTTAATAAAAGCGATGATGCAGATGAACTTTTGCAAACATCTGCAGAAATTCTCAATGAATCGGAAGGTGAGTATTTTTTTTTTTTTCTTTTTATTATTTCCCCTTTTATTTATTACAAGCACTTGTAAAAATTAAACGATAAACGCCCGCAAATATTTTCAATGGAAATGTTTTCCTGTAACTTACATATAAGCTACTTGGCGGCGCTAATTAAATATTTATACGTTTCTTCTAATCGAAACTAAAAGTTTGTAATAAGATGACTAGAGGAGGTAATTACTTTTTTGCATCATTCCAACTTTATTCGCATAGCTCTTAAAATTATGTCTAAAAAACAATTTGACAACAAAGAAGAAGATACCGTTTTTACGAAGCTTGTAAGAAATCCAAATCTATGGATGCAACGTGAAATTATTTTTAGAAATTGGAATTTTTTTTTTAAAGGAATCAGGTCAGAAGGAACTTTACACCTCTATGCGCTGATATTCTATTCAAATATATCTATAATTGACGCGCCGGGCATATTCTACTTCGAGAATACATAAAAACGTTTTCATCACTCCTGTCCCTCGAAGAACTTCATTTTTTTTTTTTTGAAATTCTTACTTCGGCCGCCTGTAAGATACATATATATATATATATATGCTTTAACCTATCTATTGGAACTACATTGCAATAACGTTCAATTTTTGCAAATTCTTTTAAAAAAGTCTTCAGCAATTCTACTTTCCGGTTTGCTTTCTGGACTTATTATGGGTTGGTCTGAGAAAAATGCATAAATTTGTTTATAATCCGCGAGAAATATCTATATATTCTGTAGTGATAAAGTTCAAAGTAATTTTAAAGAATCACTGTATTCACTAAATGTTGGTAAATATGTTGAAGGAACGGCAGAGGATATGGTTGCCATCAGTAGGGATCTACACTTCAGCCAGCTAAACAGATTTCGAATTAATGAAGAGAATTATCATCGAATCGCATAAATGCCACAAAATCGTGCTCAACATGCCGACATTATAGGGATTATGGGCTTATGTGAGACAATGTGGAGGCATGCAGGCGTTTTGATGCCCAACTGCTTTGAAAAAGTACTCCTTTTAATTTATGAAGTCTGCAAGATTAACAGATAAAATTAGTACAAAATACAAATTTTTGCGGGCTCCGCGTATGTACCTGTAGTTTTTCGATCAAATTGAGCAATAGAATCCGTGGCTGTCTCGCTGTGGCTGTGTCCAAATCACAATGACGTCTTTAAACATTTTCCCCCGTTGCTCTGCCCTGCTCTTCTCGACTGACCCTCGTCAAGTTAAGTTCGACGATCAGTTACCCGACAGACAATTATGTACAATCGGGAATTTTTAATTTCGCCTTAGATTATGATTTCAAGAATTTGAGAAAAGCAAAACCAGTTTGATCTGATTCGATATGAATACATTGACTCGGCCACTATTCTCAACAAATTGCGTGTCAACATGATGGAAATTGTGTATGAAAAGGGCCTGCAATAATATGCACCTATGAAATGCTGTCATTTATTTGTAAATATTTCAAATAGTTTATGATTTTAAAGATTAGCTGCAGATGGACGCAAATATCGTATCGTACATATTATTGCAATCGGTTATCCGATGTTTGTCAATTCGTATATATGTTTAATATGATATCATATATTATATTCTCGCTTCAAATGAAACTATTATTGTAGCGGATATACTTAATCGATTGCCGCTGAGTATAAATATCTTCTTTTCTTAATTTTTATTTCGTGCATTATTATTATTTAAAAGTAATTATTTCAAGTTATGTGGGATTAAAAAAAAAAAAAATTTAATCAAAACAAATTTAATCAAAAATTGCTCCATATACTGGCATTTTGGCATTTTTTTTTTTAGTTTTTTTTTTTTAGTTTTTTTATTCATAGATAAACAGATGAGCGAAAAGCGAAAGCCAGAGACATTGCATTTATCACATTAGCTCCACACAAACACATATGAACAATTAGTTATGTGCTATTGACCAATTTTATGTTTTTTGTACGATCTGCGAGTAGACAACTCGCAGCAGCAAAAAAGCGAATTGCAACAAATTATAAACAGTAACAACAAAAAGATTTTGCAAACATATTGTTAAAAGAGAAATAAAAAGAAAAAATGAAAAATAATAAGCAAAAAAAAAAACAAAAGCAATTGCACAAAGACCGCATATACATAACCAATGGCATACACATATTATCTATGTATGGATGTATGTATGTGTAAATGTATTGTAGCACTATTTACCAAAAGTATGGTCAAAATAATTTATGTAAGTCCATTTTTTAAAAGTGGATTTTTATTTATTTATTTATAATACACTGCTGTTATATACATGTTATATACGTTGCTTATATGGATTTAGCTACAAAGTGCGGCATGCAGCTATATTTGTATAAAGAGGAAAAAATAACTATAAAACGTTAAAAAATTGAACGGTACCAGAAAAAGAAAAAAAAAAAAAAAAGCAGAATTGTTGTAACGCAACATTACACTCATCATCATCATGTATATGGTTATTGTTTGGGTTGCTATTTTTCGGCTACCATAAGCGATTTGTTACTGAGCGAGGGTATGTATGGTGCAACTATGTATTTCACTAACCAGGTCTTTTCTTGCATGAATAAATTTGGTTATACGTACGCCAAAAAACCAAAAAAGAAAAACAGAACACGATTTATGCGTTATGTAGATTCGTACAAATACAATCAAGAATAATAGCTTTGAAAAAAGTTGAGAAAAAAGCAAACAAAAAACTGAAGTTCACCTTGAGGCGAATCTGTGATATCCACCAACCCGAGCCAATACATAAAAATTTATAAATATTTCGTTAATGGCCTGCGATGTTTTTTTTTTTTTTTTTTTTTTTTTTTTTTTTTTTTTTTTTTTTTTGCTTATTAACAGCTTAGCAGGGCTGTGGGCAGATTACGCCCATTCTTAAATGCAATCATTAACAATCAAGTACGATCGCAATCGTCAAGTTTCATTATTTGATATCAATTTTCGCATTCTACCCAGTGGACAACAGGCAGCAAATATCACACAGGATTCATAATCTTCCGATGCTTACGAATATTTATCCTTTGGAAAGTTTCTAATCCTTGGCACATCCGTATACTTTGCTCGTCCTTCTATAAGATCAATATCACATCTGTCTCTCTTGTAAATCCTATAAGTCCAAGTGCCAGTTTATTTCAGAAAGAGAACGAAAATCATGCATTCACTTCAAATGAAGGTAGCAGTTGAAATATATTAAAACTGCAAAGCTAGGGGGGGGGGGGGGGGGTGGGGAGGATGCCTTCTTACTACAATTCGATTTACTTATTCCTCATTGCTTTTAATGCTCTCATGCCCATGCTACGCTTTCACAACAACTGTGACGCTGGGACGCTTGCACAAATATTCATAGTTTCAAATTTTGCTAAATTCGTTGGGGGCGTTAGTTGCCTATTTATAGAGGTTGTCCACCGAATAGATGACTAAATCAATATAGCCACCGCTGCCTATAGACGAACCGTTTTGAAGAGTAAGACCTAAGACTATCTAACACCTCTTTTCATAACGACACTTCTTTTTTCTTGAAATGTTTGTCCGTCCGGCTTGCTGGTGCCGTTTGAGTTTGACAAAATGCTGCCATGTGTTAATGGAACATTACGTACTTTCAAAAGACTAATAAATTAGTAAAACTTTTAGTCACAGCGATCTCATATACGTCATTCAAAGTTTATCACCGTCACAGTCGTTGTGATAAGCAAACAATTAAACATTTTGTAAAAATTTTCGTAAATTGGCGTAAATTCTTCACAATTTAAGCATAGCACTACGGCACAGAATAAAAGATAGAGAGAATATTGTGAGTAGACAGATATTACAAATAGTCGATGCAATATATAACTGGGTGACTTAAAGTTCTCAGGAAAAAGTTTCGATCTTCTACAATTGATGATGTAAGGCTCTTTCAAATTCTACATTGCCATAAGTCATTCAGCGTGGAGTTACATGGAGAATTTCAACTTTTCTTTAGAATTCAATTACAGTGACCTAGTTTGTCCCTTTGCTCTTAGACTTTATAAGTGCTGTCTTTGACACCTCTATCGAGTTTCATATCAACATGCAACAATTCCTGCATACCGTACATGAGCTTCTGTAACCGCACAAAAGTGAGTTCTCCCTTTCCTTTTCTTTTTTGCTATGCCTGATTTTACTGAGTGAAGAATTTGCATGAAATTTTGCTTGCGGCATGAATATTAAGCGAGCGGAAATATTGAGGATGCTAAAGCCCTCTGATGATTGATGATTGTCGCATCGAAATGTTCCTAACTGGTATAAAGACTTCAAAGGAGACCGAAATTGAGTTCAAAACGACACAGTTGAGCAGACGGACAGATGGACGGATGACGGACAGCTGGACATGCTTAGGTGCATTCCAAATTTGGAACTTCCCAACAATTTATATATTTTATGGGGTTTCTGCAGCTGGTCTCTGCGCGTTATAAAGGTATTGAAAAAAAAAAAAATTAAATATTGATACACTATAAGATTAGGTAGGCGTGGTCAATTTTTTCCATTTTTATGCAGGTACAACAGTATCGTCAGTAGAGTATACGTTCAAATATTTGAAGATTGAAGATCTGCTGCAGTTTATGAGTAATAGGCGAACAACCAATTTTTTATTGGTTTCGAAAAACCGAGGCATTTTCAGTTTACGCGGTGCTGCGGTGGTATCCTTTGACTGAATTGGTCCATTTTTAATACCAATCTGAATGCAAGAACGTCCAAGCTGAAGCTTCAGTTTTACGGCTAGAGGAAGGTTTCCAACAGATGTTGCATAGAAGGACAGACGGACTTGCTTAAATCGATTTGGAATGTGATGCTGATGAGGAATATATATACTTTTGGAGGAATATATATACGTCTTGATAAAATGATTATATCCCACATGCTTCGGGGATGGCTATAAAAAAAGGCAACTTTGCAAAGTAAGGAGATTCATTAAAATAATTTCAGGAACAAAACTAAATTAATTTGTATATG